TTGGAGATGGTAACCTGGAATTCGTAGCCATGCCTGCACTGGTGCCCCCCGAAGTCACTATGGACCCACAATGGCAGAACCAAATCGAAAAAGATCTCAAGGAAGCCCAGGACACGGCTCTACCCGAGGAAGACGAGGACTTGTAAACAGGAGTTTCTGGCCGGTGCCCTCTGTCATCTTTCGGTGGTTTTGTTCATATTCTTTTGTTAAAATTTCATTCCATTAGTTTCACAAAAGACCATATCTATTTCATGTAAAATTGCATTATTTAATTTTTATTCGCCTAAACTATTGTCTACTCATGTATTGTTAGTGTTCAGTTAAAATACTGCATTTAAAATTAACGTGTCTTGCTTATGTAAACCAATATTTCCTACTGTTTTGTAGTGTTGTATTAATTGTATTATGTCTAATAAATACTGTAATGCCTAATATTAATTACTCGCAGCTTTGTAATACTTGTTCATTGTTTTTGTATTATTTATTGTATTGTCAGAAATATTTCATAGGAAATTGATAAGATCCTTATAGTTTGCAGTGTTACATAACCAGTTATGACCATTCACACATTTTGTTTTGTATTTTAAAATGTTTTTTTGTTAGGCAAGGACTGACAATATATTTCACATGTGAAATTATCGTGATACTTTTTGAATAAAATATGAAAACAATATACACTTTGTTTTATTTCCTTTATACATTAGGTAATTGTTAGATTGACTAATGATCCATGACTATGCACAATATGTTCAATAGTCTGTCAGTAATATTGATAATAGAATGACAACTCCTGTTTTGTTGAGATATGAATTGTGAGTTCAACTTAACCATTCTTTGAGCTTATAAGTGAATACTATTTGTATTTTATCATGTGTGGGGCAATTTAAAAAAAAAAACTTAATTGAATTAGATGATTGCTCTTGACGTACTCTAAGCAAATGTTGAAACCAGATTGGACTAAAATATTTTCGTATACTACAATGATTTTATGGAATAATATAAAAAGTATCAACTTTATAAGTTGGAATTCAATAAAACGCAATTTAAAATTTAACACACATTTATTTTAAATGCATACAATAATGTCTACAGAATGATTCTAAATGTAACTTATGACTTAAATAAATTTACTTCTTCGCGCTGGCCTTTTCACGCGCCTTCTTGCCCTCCAATAACTTCAGCCTTTCGTCTTCGCTAAGATTTTTATTTATTTTAGTAACAACGCCAGTTCCTAGTGTCAAATCACCCAAACGCAAGGTGAACCTTTGACCAGCCTCGCACACCATAGGCTTAAGTAAACGTAGATGCAGTCTGTAATTAATAACATATTGTGAATAAATACAATTAAAAACCTTGTAATAAATTCATAAGTCTCAGCATAGCAGCATTTAGTACTGAAACATTTTATATATGGCTAATGCCTGCAGTTTTGACCTTGTAGAATAAAAAACCTTTAGGTTATAGCACTGTTAAAGACTAATTTTTGTGCGAAATATCATCCAGATCCATTTAGCGATATTAGTGTTGGCTGCTAAGAAGTATCAAAATTTGCATTAATAATTAGTAAGATGTTATAATTAAAAACACAAAGAATAGTAAACATAGTACTATGTAGTTAAGTTTTCTATTCTGATCTCTGACATCATCTATTGTGCACAGTTTGTTGTACTATTATAGTATTTATAAAATCTGTTATAAGTAGTCCCACAATAACTACATAACATTAGATAAACTGTCTCAAGTTCAACTAATCGCAATTAACTTACGTTGCATCTTCACCAGGCATCACCATTTCCTTGTCTGGAATGTTAACTTGTGTTGCGCAGTCCCACGTCATTGAGAACATTTGCAGCTGTATGAAAGATGTGAAAGGTTTGGATCGACCACCTTCTTCCTTGCTGAGTATGTACACGGCAGCTTCAATGTTATCATGAGCTTTCACAGTTCCAGGCTTAGCCATCACCATCCCGCGTTTGATTTGCTCTCTCTTAATAGAACGGACAAGAGCTCCCAGTTGGTCACCCGCTTGAGCTTCATCCAATGTCTTGTGGAACATTTCAACTCCGGTAACGGTTGTCTTCATTACTTTACCGTGACCGACTATTTCACATTCGGTACCCTTTTTTAATACACCTACAATACAATGAGAGATTTTTGTTAAAAAATTAAATCTTGACAAGCATAGACAAAAATATACATAGCAAATGCCAAATATATTGGACTCCTACATAGACCATTTATATGTCATATACATTTTATATGTTTTAATTTTCTTTATTAACTTGATAAATATGATAAAACGGAGAACTTTAGTCTTGTTTAACGCGACGGAATTGTATTTTATTGTGTAATTTTTAAAAATTTGTCCTCTTTGAAATATATTCGTATCAAACTTACAATAATTTACTTAAGAGCTTTAATATGCAAGGGTATTATTTTACCTCTGTGTAGTCGTCCAGTTACAACAGTACCACGTCCAGGGATAGAATGCACAGATTCCACTGGCAACAAGAAAGGCTTGTCCAGCTCACGCACTGGAGTGGGTATGAAAGAATCAACCTCCTGTAGCAGTTTGCTGATGGCTTCCGCACCTATTTCTGGACTTTTACCATCCAAAGCACAGAGAGCAGAACCTAGAGAAATTAAAAATGATTTTAGAATTATAAAAATCCACATTTTTATCATATGAATCAAATATTTATTTACATAGTTTTGTAATTCTTCATACAGGTGAAAACCATATAGCCAACAGCTAGTAATTTTAAAACTAAAATGATAGTCACATAATGTAAAAAATTACAAATTCTTTAACAATTAATATTGTAATGATTAAAAAAATCACCTTTGATAACAGGCGTCTTGTCACCATCATATCCCATTTCAGTCATAAGTTCACGTATTTCCATCTCTACAAGTTCTACCATCTCTTCATCAGCAGCATCTACTTTGTTGATGAAGACCACCACATGCTGGATTCCGATCTGTTTGGCAAGCAGCAAGTGTTCCCGGGTCTGTGGCATTACACCATCAGTGGCCGCTACCACAAGAATTGCACCATCCATCTGTGCTGTTCCTGTTATCATATTCTGAAAAGTAGCATGCAAATGTTTAAAACTAGCTTTCATCCATGCTACATTCATCCATCCATCCAACATTCACATAATCTTACTAACACTAACAAGACCATGCCTAGTTTACAGACTAGCATAGACTGTATGGGTTTTGTATTTACATTATAGTTGTATGCTACCGCTTCTAAGTGTAACTGGTCTATTTTATTGGCATAATGTAAACCAGGCATTAGATGTGCAAATATGTTATTTTTAGTGCCATTTACCAGAATCTTCTGTTCAATTTCATCAATGTAATAAAAAATGTGAATTAGTTACTTTATCAAGCTATTATAAAAAACTTTTACTTATTAATGAAAGTTTTAATTGTGATATTGCAATAAAAATAGATTTACATCACAAAACAACAATTGTAGACAGATCGTTTTTTTTACCTTAATGTAATCAGCATGTCCTGGACAGTCAGTGTGGCCATAATGCCTCTGCTCTGTTTGGTATTCAACATGGGCAACATTAATTGTAATACCACGAGCTTTCTCTTCCGGGGCATTGTCGATATCTGTGTAGCCTTTCTTCTGAGCCAAATTGAGATCAGATAATACTGAAATTTTATTTTAAAAATTAACAACATTAGAATATTTATACACATTTAAGTGGAGTGTTTTGACCTTAAGTTATGTTCTGTTGAAGTAAATATATGTCTCAGATTTAAGACAATGTTTAAAAAGCAAATATCATTTGGTCTATATATTTGTTGTCTTGTTTTTTAAAATATATCATGTTAAATGACACCAGAGGAATTGCCGATGTTGCTGGAATTTAAAATGATTAAAAATGTGTATTAACAAAAACAAGGTACCTTTGGTTATAGCGGCGGTTAGGGTAGTTTTTCCATGGTCAACATGGCCAATTGTACCAACATTGCAATGTGGTTTTGTCCTCTCAAATACTAGTTTCTCTGCATAATTCCTTCTGAGCACCAAACTAAGCGGTGTTAACACTGGCAGGCCATTTGTATTTAACAGGTGGGAACAATGGTTCTGTTTCAAAATTAACTTTAGAGCTGAAAATGATTGTTTTTGTTACTTTTACTTACAGAAAAGCATTTAGGTTGTGCGGTTGTGAAAAAACAGAGGTGTTTCAATATATAATCCTTCATAATAAGTTTTAAATTTTTAAGTATGATAATAGGTGTTTTACATAATAGTTGCAAACCTTGATTTAACTTCAAAAATACTAAATTATAATATTAAACTAAAAAGGTAAAAATGTGTATTCTAAAGGCCACTTTTTTGTACATAGACATTAACGTGAAATAAATTAATAATTAAATAAGTATAAATTGTCATACCTGGGTTAACCACACTTTTCGCAAATGAAATAGTCGCCATTGTAATTGATAAACCACAGCTAGAGCTGTGATATTTTTAGCTCTTCACGCGATACACTTAACAAATAATTATTTAATTTCCTATAATACGATTATTATCAATCAATAATTATTATAATTTTCGTGCGCCTTGTGATAGTCGGTAAATTTATCACATCAAAGATGAGTTATGGACAAAACACGCAAGAAGGCACAAGAAGGTATAAAATTGTTACTATGGTGTTACTACTCTTTGACATACCGTGCACCGAAAAAAAAAGTGAAAAAAGAAAGCAAGAAAAGTTTTTAAAAAGTTTAAGTTTATTGTATAAACACCACATTACAACAATAATATAGGTAGTTCGCTTTCAACTGCAAAGAATCATATAAAAAGAACATGAACTATGTTAACTTTTCAGTCACAAGAGATGTGATAAAATGTTACAAATACACAGAAATGAAACGACATAAATTCACAAACTACATTTAATTCAACATTTTATTGTAGGTAGATAAATCATTAACAATCAAATGAAATGAATTCAAATAATAAAGAAATATTAAAATTCGAATTCGTCGCTACTACGCGAAGCAACTCTAACTTGTAACTGAGAGTTAATGGGTGCATCGTCTGGGTTTATTTCTTTAGTTTCATCGATAATAGATAGACCTGGAATTAAACGAAAAATATAGTTAGAAAACAATTTAAATTTCAGATAGAGCTTAATAAGTGTTTGTTATTACCATTATTCGGAAAAGCGTTTTCCAGACCGTCGTCAGTACCAGTAACATTCACTTTCAAAGAATTCATGTCTTTTAATGTATCGTTAACTTTGATTTCATCATTCAAAGTGCTCGAGAAATCCGAATTATTGTCGGATTCCGGCTGTTTTTCATTTCTTTTAATTTTTTCCTTCTGCCCCATGGCATTGTCCGTACGTTTATTTGCAGCATCAATTTTACCTTTACACTCTACAAGTTCATCTTCATCAGAATTGTCATCACTATCAGAACTCAAAGGAAAGTCAACATTATACTTTCTCTTGAGACTCATACGGTATTTCTCAATCTCAGTTTTAGATACTTTAGTAGGACTTACGATTTTGCCTTTGTATCGCGCTAAAAAGCTATATTTTTTTAATCTTAAAGCGAGTGGCAAAGAAAACGCATCCGTTGCTTGTTTTACGGCTACTCGTAAACGTTTTGCGTATTTACTATTTCGGTTGGCATCTTCAATTTTACTTTTATTGTTGACAATGAAAGGTTCAATCATTTGGTCGGTCACCCATGCACGCGATACTTCCCATTTATCGAAGAAAACCACGTGATAATCAGTCTGAAAATTCGTTTTTAGTTTGATATTTATTCCTACAATTCACAATAACCCAACTTTTTTAACAATGCTTATTAAAAAACTTATTTCATACGTAAAATAGTAATTTTAGCAGCAAGATGGGATACTTATGTTGAGATCTTACGATTTGATGTCAGATAAAGTGATCAAATAACAGTTTTGACTCTACTCTAAATGGATTCCTATACATTCAAGAAGTTATCTATCCGTTAAAATAATTGAAATAACCGGTATATCAGAGAATCCGTCTAGCCAGTAGAACTGCTCGGTGTCGGGGCAATCATCCACCATGGCGGGCCAGCTCGGCCAGCCCGCCATCTTCACCCACACTATGGAGCCCGCTGAGAATCTACTATGGATCAGGTCTTCTTCATCGTGCAGCAGTATGCGTACTTCTGGGGCGGAACAATCGGCCAAACTTTTGTCTACAAATGATCAATAATAACAGGTCTAATCTTACTAATATTATAAATGCGAAGGTTTAGATGTATGGATGGATGTTTGTTATAGTTTGTAGCCTAGACGACTGAACGGATCTCGATGAAATTTGGCATGGACGTAAAGGATAGTCTTGAAGAACACATGGGCTAGTTGATTTTGTTTTTTT